ATATTAAATATATATATTTATATATATTCACATATATATTTATATATTAAAAATTAATCTTTAATATTAAATTTATATTTAATATAAAACTTAAAATTTTTATATTAAATATATTATCTTTTTAAAAAAAATCATATTAGTGGTCCTCAGGATTTAAAATTATGAGTTTGGTGGTCCCTGAGGTCCAAAAGTTTGGCGACCCCTGGATTAAGGTATAGAAGAATTTAAAGAAAATTCTTCTTGTTTGGGGAAAGATCTTGTGGATTACAGATTGATAAGAGATAATTAGTTAAATATTCCAAAATGAGAAAAACAGTGACATCTGCATCATCTTCATCTTCTGAGACATCCAGTCCTAGAGGTCAGAGTACCCTTGATTTGTTTGTTCAACAAGAAAAGGCGGTGACGGGACTTCCGGTGGCGCTTCAATTGACGATGGTCAGAGACCGTGATCGTGTACAGCTTGGGTCCGTGCTTCCTTTGTTGGAAGGGTCCCTACGGGACCGGTGTCATCCTGACCCAACTCGGAGTGGTGGGCGAAGAGGGGGAGACTGCCAGCTGGGTCGAGGGGAGCCGTATCTCCCCTCCCTGGCTAGGTATTACTCCCCTGGAAGACAGGGAGAAACGACAGTCTAAAATGGCTGCCCTGAAGATGGAAAGCTGCCGGGATTTAAGTTTTGCGCTGGCACACAAGCTGCAGGCAAACTTACCTCTCAAACTGATTAAAATATTATATTGTTATTTATTAGGTGTTAAGTTGGAAGATGAACAGGTTAAAGAAACAATGATAGCATGGGCAAAATTTTGTATAAGATGTTTTACAGATGGCACTTAGCGCCAGCAAAACTAGCGAAAATGTTCAAAGATAAATCAACTAAATGTCACCAAACACCAGGAACATATTACCATATGTGGTGGACTTGTATAGAAGCTAAAAGATATTAAACTAAAATACACACGATTGGAAAAAATGATAAAACAACATATAATATTTTAAGCCTGAAATATTTTTATTAGGAATGGTACGTGAAGGTTATAGTAAAGAAAAAAAACATACTTAATTATACACTTATTAACAGCAGCTAGAATTGTATTTGCTCAAAATTGGAAAAGTGATAAGATACCGATAAGAGGGAAAAATAATTGAAAAAATATTTGAATGTGCAGAAATGAATAGATTAATATTAGAAATTAAAGGAAAAGAAGAATCTGAATATTACATGGTATGGGACTTGTTTTATAAATGGCTAGAAAATAAAATTAATTAAAAGGGATTAGACATAATTATAAAGCAATAAGAGAAATTAATGTAACAGATATACTGAATATTACTAATATATATGGGAATGTAATTATTATTATATGGTTATACTGTTAAGAACAATATTAGTAATTGTTAAGCACATGAAATATGTACCTAATCGACACACGATTGAAATGGAATGGATTTATTGTATGTTAAAAAAAAAAAATTAAAAAAATTCTCCACATCTCAACAGCCAACCAGCTGAAACTCACCCGCCTGATTTCTTCTGGCTCTTCCTCCTGCAGTGAATTGGAGGGTGAGGGGGTAGGTGTAAGCCGCTGCTCGGGGGACTGGGCCACAGGAGGCAGGATAGAACTTCCTCCCAGGCTGAGCCCCAGCTGAGAGCTCAGCTCCGATTGGTCGATGGTGGTCAGCTGCCCATGCCCCATGATGCCACTGCTGTCTGTCATAGGCACGTCAATGGTGACAGGTGGATTGGCGCCATACTGGGTTCCCATGGAGTGATCCAAATCCTAGAAAAAGGTTGAAGTCAATTTAGAACACAGATGTAGGGAAGGGCAGCTTCTGCCATGAAGCCAGGTGCCACATTAGCTTCCTGGCCAGAGGTTGCCCGGCTGTTGACACCACAGCTATGCAGACAACTTGATTGGGGGTTCCAAAGGTGCTTTTTTCAAGAGGAAACTGGACTTTCTGAGGTCCAGTTGCCTCTTCAAAAAAGCATCTTTGGGACAACCATGACCTGGAACATTGATTGGGGTCCCCCCACACACACACACCAGCAGGAGTCCCCTATGATCCATGTACAGATAGTCCTCAAGTTACGACCACAACTGAGCCTTGTTGCTAAGTGAGACATGTTAAGCGAGTTTTGTTCCATTTTATGACTTTTCTGGCTACATTCGTTAAGTGAACCGCTGCAATTGTTAAATTAGTAACCCAGTCATTAAGTGAATCTGGTTTGCCCCTCGACTTTGCTTGTCAGGTCGCAAAAGGGGATGACTTGACCCTGTGACACTGCCACCATAGATATGAACCAGTTGTGAAACATTCGAAAGTAAATCATGTGACTATGGGGATGCGGCAATGGTCGTGTGAAAAATGGTTGTAAGTCACTTTTTCCACTGCCATTTCACTGTTGTAAGTCGAGGACTACCTGTATTCTGTTTGTGTCCTGACTTTCTACGCCAGGCACTTGGTTCCTCCCAGGGCCTTAGTTTGGCTTTTCAACCGAGCACAAATGGTGCGGCGGAACGAACTAACACCATGGTGAAGCAATATTTGAGGTGCTACACCAAATAGTAAACAGCACCAGGCTGCGGCTTGTTCAAACCCAGGGTGCGGGAGAAATCGGCATGTGTGTGAAGCTTCCCTTGTGCAAGCGGAGGGTGCTTACGCTCGAAGCTCCATTCACACGAATGGAGCTTTGCACTGGTTTTATGTTTCATTAAACTTATGGTGCTGCTGAAAGACGGTTTCAACCAGCATTCAGTTTAGCTTTCCTAAATGAGTAAACTGTGGTCAAATCAGCAACAGAAAACCATTCCCCTTCCGCTTGTTTGACCTCTCCAAACCAGTTCTTATGATGTTTGGCTTACCATGGCTAGCCCACCACTCAGCAGCCCGCCCCCTTGCTCCATAAGACCATGGCTAATGCCCACAGGTATGTCAAGGGCCTGAACCCCATATTGGGCCGAGAATGTGGCATCGGGAGCAGTCACGGGGTCACCCAGGTCCTCAAAGTGCCCAACCACATCAGAAACAGCCAAGGAGGGGTCAGCGTCCAGGGCAATGGGTGGAATCTCGAACTCTTCATCTCCCAGACTTGGTGTGTGGAAAGTCTGCGTGAGGAAAAAAAAAAGAGGAAAGTTTAATTCAAGCCAGGTTGCACACCTAATTCAGACATGAGTACTGTGGCCAGTAAGTATCCCCCAAAAACTTGAGAAAAAGTGTTTTCACCTGCGAGCTGATTCTTTCTAAAGATTTTTTTTAAAGTAAAAGTAAAGCTGCATTCACATTTTTTAAATTAGTATTATTATTAAAGATCTCAGGGGGGAAATCTAATTATTAGAAAAGCTGCACTTACTAGAAATTGAACGGACAACACACCGTAAAAGCATCTTCTTTTAGGATCCAGAGGTTTATTAGAATTTGGAGCATAGCAAACATAAGGAACTTACACAATAATCACATTGCAACGAGGACCAATCGGACAAGCAGTCAAAAGTGGCCCCCGACCCACTGTCCAACGTTACATTATATGCCCTAATCCCACAAGCATAAGGCTTTTGGAATTCTGCATTGTCATATAGTGTTTCCCTGAAAATGTGACCTATCCCAAAAATAAGCCCTAGTTAAGCCCCACCTATCTGGTTGTATGAGGTGGGGTGAGGCGCGGGTGTAAAAATCAAACTAGGGTGAGGGCGGGACGGTGGAGCTGCCCCACACACCATGCACCCATTTTAAGTTAGGACTGCCGCAGCCAGACCTCCCATGCCGATACCTGTTGCGCCATTGCCCGACTTCTGCAGCTGCTTGCAACGGCTCATGGCCATACGCCATGTGGCGCATCATGCTGGTGCCACTGCTTGCAGGCCACCGCATGGCTTGTCATGCTGGTGCTGCTGCTCGTGCGCACAACACGCCACGCAGCCTCCTGCCATGAGCGGTGGCAACAACGAGCCTTGCATCTGGCCACAAGTGGCTGCAGATGTCGGGCAGTGGCATGATAGGTGTCAGGGCGTGGGAGGTGTGCCTGAGGTGGTCCTAAGGTAAGCAGGTAAGACAGCCCCTGTAAATAAGACCTGGTGCTTATTTTGGAGCCCAAAAGAAAATAAGATTGGGTCTTACTTCCAGGGAAACACAGTAGCAACTGGGGCAGTTTCCCCTCCTTTCTATCTCAATATTTCAACAATGTTATTCTAGCATGTACTGCTGGCATTTAGTTCCTCATTTCCAACAGCCCCAACTCCCTACATCCTTCAAAATAAGGAACTAAAGATATGGGGAAAGAGGATCCACATATTGACATTCAGATTACAATTTCAACAGACAGATTAATATTAAATCTATTTCACGCCTTACAATTACATATATAAGCCTTTATCAAACAGCACCAAGTCTTACTTTATTTTTCTCACATAGTGTTAGGGATAACATTGTTTTACCCTAACTGTTTTTGGGTAAAGATAATAAAATGATGAATCATGGTTTGTCAGATAAAGTGTATGTGACTTTAAGCTAAAGGAATGTAATTAAGGGTGCAGCTGTAAAAGTACTATATAAGCAGCAAGGCACTCTCTGGCTCTTACTGGCTGGCTTATTGAAGACTGCGTTCTTGCTGGATCGGGGAGGAGAAGAAGTGTTGGATTACTTTGAAGATATTTCTCAATGGAGAGAAGATAAGTTTTGGACAGATTTATTATATGTGTACTGACACTGGCTATTCCACACGGACTTTGCAAATAGAGTATCCCTGACAAGACTTGACTGATATGATATATGACTACTGGACTGTTTATTATGACTATGCTATAATTCTTAAATGGAATAAACAATATTTTTGATAGCACAAGCGTATCTGTATTTTTACTGCGTGTTAACTAGAAAACTTATCTCACACATTTACCTGTCTTCCTATCTGACTTCGCTGCACGTTCTGTTTAGTTTGTTTTCCTTAACACCCGTTGGGGAATCCAGGCTTAACACATAGTCCTCAAAGTACAACCACAATTGGGATTGGAATTTTGGTCACAAAGCAATGCATTTTTTTAAAGAGAATCACACCCAACTTTATGACCTATTTTACTGTGGCCATTAAGCAAATCAGTCCATTGTTAAACAAATATGACTTCTCCCTCCACCCCCTCATCGTCAAAAGCACCCTGGGAAGGTTGAAAATAGCGATCACGTGACACTGCAACGGTCATAAATACGTGCCCATTGTCAAGCAGCCCAATTTGGATCACGTGGCAAAGAGGAAGCTGTGACAGCCGCACGTCACTTTTTCAGTGCCGTAACTTTGAACAGTCGTTAAACGAATGGTCATAAGTCAAGGACTATCTGCATTATTTACATTTTATTGTGCTAGCCCAGAAAGCTGGACCCGGCGCCCTGTGTGCAATGCTCAATGAAAACACACCAAAGTGGAGATTACAAAAGACTTTACACAGGAAGAGGACCAGGGGATCACTCCTACTAGGCCTGTGTAAAGGTCCCACCTTAAACCAGTCCCAAAGGTGCTTTTTCAGGAGGCAACTGGACTTTGTTTTTTCTTTGAAGAAATTTCGCTTCTCATCTTTTTTTTTAATTAAAGTTTTTTATTTTTATAACAGCAAAAAACAAACATATAAAACCTTCTTTCTGTTGCACAGTGTGTCAGTTGGGTCCATATTTCTTTGTGCATAAAATGTTATCATCCATATTTAACTTGCATGTTATAATCATTCTAATTAATATTTTATATCGCATATATCACTTATTCTATTATCCTTAGCTTTATCATTATCGACCTTCAATAATATATTTCAAATTCATTTTCTTACTCTAACTCATCCATTTATCAATAACATTATACTATACTTATATAATTCAATTCTTTACTCTTCTATCCAGCCATTCATAAAATAAATTCCAAATTTTATAGTAGTCTTTTTCTTGTTGTTCTCTAATCGCCATTGTCAATCTACTCATTTCTGCACATTCCATTATTTTCTTAATTATTTCCTCCTCTGTTGGAATTTTTTCATTTCTCCAATTTTGTGCAAATACAATCCTAGCTGCTGTTAATATATTGATAATAAAATACGTTAACTCTTTGTTATAACCCTCAGGCAAAATTCCCCCCAAAAATGTCTCTGGTTTTAAGTCTATAGGTTGTTTTATCATCTTCTCCAGCCACATGTGTATTCTAGTCCAATACTTTTTAGCCTCTGTGCATGTCCACCACATGTGGTAGTATGATCCTGGTAGCTTCTGACATTTCCAGCACTTCGCCGACTTGTCTTTAAACATCTTAGCAATTCTCATTGGGGATAAATGCCACATGTAAAACATCTTATACAAATTCTCTTTATAGGCCGTTGACATAGTTAATTTATAATTTCTAGACCATAATATCTGCCATTTATCTAAATCTATTCCATATCCAAATTTTTTCCCCCATGCAATCATTGTTTCTATTAGTTGTTCATCCTCTAATTTCACTCCTAATAAATAATCATATAGTTTTTTAATCATCTTCTCTTTGGTGCCTGTTATGATTTTATCCAATTCAGTCAATTCCTTATAAAACTCAGGCATCTTAATGTCTTTTTCATACCTGGTATGTATTTGCAAATAAGAATACCAATTTATATTTATTCCTTGTAAGTCTAATTCTTGCTTTGTTTTGAGTTCACTCTTTTCATTTAGAATTTCTTCATATCTAATTATATGTTCCTTTTTAAATAGCTGTGGATATGTAAAAGCTTCTAATGTTGATAACCAGACTGGTATTTTCATATAATGATAGTCTCTTATTTTTCCCATACTGTTAATAAAGCATCTCTAATGTAATGTCTCCTAAAATATCCACATACCTTACTTTCTTTATACCATAAGAATGCATGCCAACCCAATTGTAAATCATGCCCTTCTAATGTTAATAAACTGGCATTTTTCAATACGATCCATTCCTTCATCCACATCAATATTGTTGCTTGATAATATAATTCCCAATTGGGTAATCTAAAACCCCCTCTCAACCTTGCATCCTGTAATAATTTTATCTTAATTCTTGCCTTTTGCCCCTGCCAAATAAATTTCATCATCATTTTATTTAAGTATTCAAAATATTTTTTTCAGTCTTATTGGAATCATTTGGAATAAGTACAATATTTTTGGCAGTATGTTCATTTTAATTGTCGCTATTCTACCACCTATTAGAGATAGTTGTAGATTTTTCCATTTTTCTAGATCTATCGCAATCTGTTGTAGTAATTTGTCGTAGTTATTTTCTTTAAGTGTTCCACATCTAGCTGTCATTTGTATCCCTAAATATTTCACTTTTTTTGTAATTTGAATATTTAGTTTGTCCATTAATCTTTTCTTTTGTTTTCTGTCATATTTTTCACAACGATTTTTGTTTTTTCTTTATTTTCAGTCCTACTTTGCCAAACTCCTCTATTTCTCTAATCAACTTTGAGCCTGTTTCCAATGGTTCTTCCAATATAAAAACCAAATCATCTGCGAAAGCTTGTAGTTTGTACTCTTCATTTTTTATTTTCATTCCCTTTATTTCTCCATTTTTTCTAATATTTCTATTCAAGACTTCCAATGTCAATACAAATAATAGTGGGGATAACGGACAGCCTTGTCTAGTTCCTTTTAGGATGTCAAAGTTTTCTGTCAATTCTCCATTTATCATTACTCTTGCTGTTTGCTTATTGTATATCGCTTTTAATGCATTCGTATACCTGTCTCCAAAACCCATCTCCTCCAATTGCATCAACATAAACTGCCAATTCACATTGTCAAACGCTTTCTGTGCATCTAAAAACACTAATGCCATTTGTTTCTCTGAGTGGGTTTCATAATATTCCAAAGTATTAAATATTATCCTCATGTTATTTTTTATTTGTCTCTTGCGCATAAATCCATTTTGATCTGAGTGTATAAAATAGTTTAAATATCTTTTTAGTCTTTCTGCCACTATTGAAGCAAATGTTTTATAATCAGCATTTAGCAGGGATATTGGTCTATAATTTTTTATTTGTTGTGGGTCAGTACTTTTTTTTGGTGTAAGTGTAACATATGCCTCTGTCCATGAATCGGGTACTTTATTTTTTGTCAAAACCTCATTCAATACTTCCAACATTGTAGTAGAAATTATTTCCTGAATTGTCTTATAAATCTCAGCTGGTAGCCCATCCGGACCGGGGGCTTTTCCACTATTTTGTCTGTTTATTGCTTCTGTCAGTTCCATCATTGTTATTTTCTCATCTAACATGGTCTTTACCTCATCAGGTATTTTCAGTAATTCTTCTTCTTGTAAATATTGCTGTACTTTGTTTTCTGATATTGCCTTTTGATCATATAGTTTCTCATAAAATTTCTGTACTATTTTTTTCTTCTCTTCATTTTCATAATGTAACGTTCCATTTTCATCCATTAATTGTGGTATTCTTTTTTATTCTTTTTCTTTCTTTAATTTATATGCTAGCCATCTCCCTGGTTTATTTGCATTTTCAAAATAGTTCTGTTTAGCTCCTCTAATCTTTTGTGCCAGTTCTTCTTTTTCCATTAGTCCAATTTTGTGTTTAATTATATCCATTTGATTTTTAGTATTTTTATGCTGTGGATATCTTTGTAGTTCCTTCTCCAATTTTTTTATGCTCTTGTTCTAGGGATTGTTGTATTTGTCTCTTTTTAATATTCCTTCTTCTTGTATAGGTTATAATCACCCCTCTGGTATACACTTTCATAGTATCCCATACATTTTGTAATGAGGTTTCTCCTGCTTTGTTTTCTTTAAGGAAGAAAGCCAACTCTTTTTCCAGGTATTTAATAAAAAAAAAAATCTTTCAAAATCGAATTATTCAAAGTCCATCTTGATCTTTTAATCC